TATTTCAGAAATTCCGCATTTAATTTGGTATTTTAGTTGTAAATATTTATTTATCCACTGTGATTAATCGGTCAAGGTTGTCTAAATGATCGGGCTTGCCTAGCAGTGTGTTGGGCGCCCTCACTACCGGGGTTGGGTCGTGACAATGTATGCTTTCAAGGTTAATCAATTTAATAATTAAGCATAAAATCAATATGAAACCTAAATAATAGTATGTTTTATTTAATTTTAAAATTATCGAACTACCATTTCAAATTCAAAAAAAGTATAAACAAATTTGACATATGAGTATGAAAAAGAGATTGGCGTATTTCAATAACACATGATAAGAAAGTGATAATACAACTCATTATTTAATGTAAATAAATATGGATGCACTTCATAGTTATTATAAAAATTACATCCCATGAGTGAATCTCGAATATTTTTAGACATTTTCTATAGAAAATTCTATATAAAATCTTAAAGTATATATAAACATTATATATTTATATGTCGGGTTGGTTCAGGTTTTTTTACTCAATACCAAACCTAATCAGATTTTTTAATCGATTTGGTTTGACTTTTCAGTTTGGTGCGGTTTTATGGTTCGGTTTGAACATCCCCTAGATATATCTAAGAGAATCTCTTAGAAATTTTTTATATCCCAAGTGAGTTTCTATAAGTTATTTTTAAACTAGCTAATAGCGCAAAGCGCGAACAATTTTACCACTATATATTTTATTGACGACATTGTTTGACCAAAAGGTATAAAGCCTTTTGTTAAACTAATTAAATGAAAAGATAAGGGGCTAATCTTAGCTAAAGATAATAACCTTAGATCTAAAACGGGCTTATGTGAATAACGTGGGGACAATGTTAAAATGGATTTAATGCAATACACATTAAATGTCGCGGTTATTTATAGAGTGAGGACAATAATAAGCAATAAATACAATAAATGACACTAAATGTAAATAAGGAGGAAGATTCACCCAATATTGAATGAGATGGAGGATTTCTTCCTCTGACAATGATGAATGACAAGAATATAAGAGAATATGGGACACTTTTTCGGATCTGGTGGAAATGACAATAGATAATCTAAAGAGATCGAATTTCTCTCAGGAAGTAGTTCTTTGTATTTATCTAGAGAGCTTACTTTTCAAAAGTGTTCTTATCATATGGAATATTATATACCTTTTGCCTTATCTCTCCTACTATTTATATGGGATATTCCCAAAGAACCCTAAAAGGTACAGACAGAAGGAATATTCAATAGAATATTCCTTTTAAAGGTTCCAAAGCTATACTAGTCGTTACTTCTGTCCATGTTGCTCGACCTCAGCCCCGATGAGCCACTCTGCGGCTTGTTCTGTTGACCATTGATCGACCTCGGCCAAATTGCCCATGATAAGTTACAAATCTCACGATAATTACCTTTTCGTGCTGAATTTCCTCGGTCGGACTTTGACCTAAACAGTTAGTCCCTCCGCTTATCGAGGTCGTCTTTTGGTCAACCTCAATGAACGGACTTAATTAGTCATAGTTTGAGAAATTCGGATGGGAAGGTCGAATAGTGAGGATCGCGGCCGAGATGATGACGTGGCGTTTTGAGAACCACACTTAATGATGTTGGTTCAAAATGACGTCACAGCTTCACGCGTCACCATTACGCATCTTCCCTGTGCGTTGCATCGCTTCCCATGTCCCTATCGTTTCGATCCCTACGAATTTGATGGTTAATTATCTCGATCCGAGCGCCGGTGTTCTCTATGAATAAAGGGGGGACACCCTTTGAGTGACACGTTACATTTTCCAATCTTTTGAACCTGCATCTTTCTTCTCTTCTTCTTCTTTCTGTGTTCCTACTCCAGTTGCTTCCATTTTTCGCACTCTCTCTCCTTTCTAGTTCAAGTGACTCCTGTTGTTTCTGCCTCTTTCGAGTTCGTATCTTTTGTATTTACAATCAACCAACAATGGTGGATACACCTCTTGTCTCTGGTGAGGTTCTCGAACCAACTCCACTAGGAGTGAGGATGCCTCCTCATGAAGAGGATTCTGTTGTCGTTGCCGAGGATGAGAGCTTTCCCATCGTACAGGAAATCATTCCTCGTAACGATAGAGCTAGGTCGGACTTCTCGAAGTCGCCTGCGGACGAGCCTAAGCCTGTAAAGTCCGAGATGGAAACAACCCATCTTGCCGAGCATAGGACCAAGCTGGGAATGACGTGATCCATATTCATCGTCCTACGTATTGAACATTTTAGGCATACCCGTTTCAAGTGGGCTATTCTCTTCCTCTTCCCCCGTTGGCAGAGCCCCTTATATTTATAAACTCTTCATTATGTTGATAAAGTACACGGAGTTGGCCAACCATGGAATTTCCATCGGCCATCTGCTACATCTTTTCGCGCCAAGCTTTCACTGAGGTACGATGATACACCTCCCCCACCGAGGGACCAAGGCATTGGTGGTGAAGATGGATGATAAGGCAAATCGTCGGTTTTGGTTTAACTTCTTCTACATTAAGATCGAGCACGTCATGGCGAACCCCAATGGATTCCCTGAGGCGTGGAATTTCGCCCGTAAGTGTTTTTGCTAATTGATTGATTGTTGTATCTCTTCAGTGACTTAATCGTTCTTCCTTTTTTATGTAGCCGAGAAGGAGTCTCCTACGTTGGTCACCAATATTCGCGACTGGGTGAGCCAAATTTTTCCTCATATGGTGAGGATCCGTGAGTAGTCACTGTTCAACAAGAAGTTTGGACGTAAATCTTCTTCGACTGGTAAGTCAACTTGTTTCAATCTCCAGTTACTTCGACCTCCAAACTATCTTCTTTTTCACTTCATGTAGTCTTTCTTTGTTGTTAGGTCGGAGGGCTCTGAGGAGAGTGAAGGCTCCTACCCTTGCTTTTTGTTAGTCGGGTACCTCGACCGGGTCTCTGCTCGCTTCAACTGCAGGCGAGTCCGTACAGACTGCTGCTTCTTCTCAGACCTCGACCCTGTGTAGTCTTGGCCGTCAGTTGGCTGCCCCATATGCGGAGACTCTGACTTCTCCAATATTGTATTTAGTGGACGAGTCATCATGGAGCGAGGAGGAAGCAGTTCCATTAAAAAGGCAGAGAGTAGAGATTGGCGGCGAGGCGGTAGGGAACGAAGAGCCAACAAAGGGCGATCCCGAGTGGGCCACGGCCGCACTCGAGGGTGGCATGGCTTTGAACGCAGAGACAGTGCACCCTTCAGATGTGGAGATTGCTCCGTGGAAGGAGGAGGGCGATCAGTGGCGGCAGAGGTCATTCTAAGGAGCGATCCTTCGCCGTCAGAGCAGGCCGACGTACCTTCATCTGCCGAAGAGAGGGGGAAAAATATGGCCGTAGATGGTTACGAGTCCGGTTCCGACATCGACTCCGAAGAGGTGCGAATGTTCGATGAGGGGTTTACTCGGGTAGAGGTGATAACGGAGGGATCTACTCGTACTATGGTAATTCTCTTGGACTATGACTTGTTGACGAACACAAAGAGCGTAGTTCCTTCTTTGTTTCCTCTTTGCTTTGGCGCCGAGAACAGGACCTTACAGACGTTTAAGGATGCCGATCTGTCGTTAGGCATATCCGCAATAGCTTTGAGGGTAAGTTTGTATATTTGTTTTTGTTGTTCTTGTACGTTACGTCCTTTCTCCTTTTTGTTTTTACTGACTTTTGGCTCTTCCTTTTTCACTTAGACTCTTATTTTGGAGATCGAGAGTGCCAGCCGAGAGGAGAAACGTAAGGTTATTTTTAAGAAAATGGTTTTGAAGCATCGCAAGTACCGTGACAAGTACCGTGAGATGCGCGCTCGATTCAACGCAGATGGTAATTTCCAGTCTCTTGGAGATGAGCTGATCCAGAAGGACGATGAACTCTTGAGGGTTATCGGCAAATGTAGCGATCTTGAGGGAGTGTTCTGAGTCAAGAAGGACGAGCTCGAAGTGAGCAAGGGGGTTGTGGCTGAGTGTGTGGACCTTCAAGCTCAAGTGGCATCCTTGCGGGCCGAACTTGAGCAGAGCTCGTTCAGAGCTAACGACTTAAGTGAGGAGTTGGTCGAAAAAGTGGCAGAGTCAGAGAGGGTCGAGGAGGCCAGGGCGGCGGCTTTAAAGAAGGTGGCAGCATTAGAGGATACCATCCGCGTCCTCCGATCTGAGCGGGCGAGTGATGCGGAGACAGCCGTGCTCAGGTAGGTAAGGTTTGACGAATGAATTGGTGGCTTGAGATAGAGGTTTCAGACCTTAATGAGGAGATCACCATTCTTGAGGCCGAAAAGGCGCAGCTACTGGCTCAACCATTTTATCTCGTACTTCCACCTATCCTGATGTTCCGTGGGATTTGTACGAGAAGTGGATTCATGACGAGGCTCAACTAGACATATTCAGGGGCTTGATAGCGGTGGGGAGAGTTTTCGAGGCCGAGTTTAAGGATGTTCGTGCTAAGGCGCACGTAGCTCTGCTCGCTTGTGGTTACAATCCTACTACCACTACAACATTAGGCCCTTAACTACCTTCGAAAAGTGTAGCCTAAACTATTAAAAAGTGTGGCATTTGATTAAAGGCCACATTTTTCGATTTTAAGCAACGCTTTTTTGGGGGTGACCTAAACTAGCGTAACCTCTTCCTTAAGGCCACGCTTTTCAAGTGTTGCTTTGAAAACCACGCTTCAAAAGCGTGGCCTATATGATATAAAGGCCACACTTTTGTTACCTCATTGGCAACGATTTTCATTTTCTAATGCTACGTGTTTGAGGCGTAGTTTTTGTTATCTTATAGGCTACACTTTTTAAGTGTGGCAATTTTGTTTTGCTGTAATAATTTTTTTAAAATATTTATAAAAGGTACAATTTGTGATTTATTAGTTACACTTTTTACATCCTATAATCACATTTATTTCAAGCATAGACAATATTATCTCATTTTGATTATCTCAAGCACTAAATTAGCTAATAAATCACTAAAAATAATAATTCATATGCATGTATTTGCAATAAACATTGAAAAACAAATATTTCTTGTATTACACCTAATAAAGCAATATTTCAAAATGTGCACTGACAATAAACTGTACAAAGTGGAATATATTCAAGGATCACAATTGTTCAAAAAGTCTTCAATGGTCACTCTAATAGATAAAATTGAGTTATGGCCACCATATCAAATTACATCACCCGCATTTTCCTACACATTCAAAATAAAATTAAAAATAAAAAGAATATATAGTATGTATTCATAAAGAACCATGAATATACAAGACCATGGATTGAAAGAACTTGACTAACTAGCATAGGCTTCCATTGGTTCTATTACAATTGAACAGATAGAGCACAACTTTTGTAACACTTGGGTCGTATCACTAATGATCAATAATTAGCCCTTTAACATCAGTTAGCTGCTCCAAATGTGAAAGGAAAAGAAGATACTTTCAGTCAGTTGTATTTTGTATTGTCATCAGCACTTCCTTTGGTGCTTGTGTGAAAAATATATATCAGAAAGCTGAAAGAAGAAAAGAAAGATGCTTTCCAATATCTGTAATTCATGTCCATTACGGAAAGACAAATATATTGTTCTTATATTACATGATGGGTCACCTCTTCATATTTTCCAATTCGACTTGACCACTTTACCATGTCAACGTTAGTTGATAGTAATACTACTATATGTTCTTTTAACATATTTTTCCTTAGCTACTCATTTTTTCAGCATTTAAAACTATATTATAGACTCTCCTTTTTTATAAGGATATACTATAGATACTTCTCTATAGAATTCTAAACAACTAGTGTCTAACCCTTTATGCAAACAAGGAAAAGGATTAAATTTGGCATTGTACTATCTAAAATTGACCTAAAAGGAATGTAATCTGTCATTGTAACTCCAGAAAATAACTTGAAATAAAAAAAAATACCTTTTCAAGAATCAGACATAAGTTGAACCAGAGGAATGTGGAAGAATTTGGCCTCACATAACCCGTGCACTACTCGCATCGATCGAAGAAGGTAGGTTAGATTAGACATACCCTGTTATATCCTGTTGTCAAGATGTTTCCTAGAAAGCGAAGACACAAAAGGCAGTACATAATATCTATTTAGCTGTACAAGGAGAAAAGTGTTACAGAGGTAAAGACCAAAATACAGTATAGTTAATCTTAATCTGTATATAAATATAGATCACTATGACAGACTTTCTATATGAGTTCAAAAGATTGGATTGTAGTTTCGATAGAATCAAACAATTGTCTTATTATATGTCTTACATTTTTTTTTTCTTTTTCCATCATTGTAATGGATAACAAAACACTTCACATAAACTATAAATTTGTGCACAAAAGATATTACTAAGCAGCCCTTGATTGCAGGTCAGTTTTCTCAATATCTCAACTTTTTCGAAGTTCTTACTCTATCCATTTCCTATTTGATTTTCCTTCATACTTAAGACATTTTCTTATTCAATTTAGGTACATTTCTAGTTTCCACTATTATTCTCTCAATTTATCAGTTTAATTTGACAAAAGTAAAAATAAAGAGGAGAGGGTCAAGTTAGACATGAAAGTTATTGGAAGACTACAAGGTCATAAGAACAACTAGATATTCTTATGCTAATATTAAGAAAATAAAGGATTTTAGTAAAAACTTAGGAGAAGGGAGTCATGGTATTGTTTGGAAAGGGAAACATTCCAAGAAAATCTATATAGCAGTAAGAGTCCTACGTAATTTAAAGGCTAAAGGAGGATAATTAATCAACCACAATCATTATATATCAAAATGAAAGTAGTAGGAAAAGCGTACCTAATATCACTAGTGGAAGTGAGTCTCCGAGCTCAGGCCCTTGTTTTAGTGAAACAAAAAATGTATTCTTTTTGTCACAATGAACTTTCAATAATGATTAGAAAGGAAGTTAATAAACAAAAAAGTGTAGTCTCTTTTATTAGAAGTTTATAAACTTCTGATAAAATCATTATGTAAACTATAACCATAACAATAACAACATGGCTTCTATAGATATAGTGCAGAACATTACCTTTTCTAAAGATGGCGCTCAATTACCCCCCCCCCCCCCCCGCCCCCCAATATTATTAAGGTCAAAACGCTATATGCTTCCAATTTTCTACCAAATGTTGCACGAAATAGCTTGTTGAACTAAAGCTCGCTTCTGATTAATGAAGAATTTTGAAGAAATTCTTTATTTAAGGCAGAAACCATCAGATTCCTATGGAGACTTACATTTAGTTTTCTCTTTAGAGGTCCAAACTATTTTGCAAGGTCATATAAAGTTATCATATTACATCAAAATTCTATAGTATATAAGATATAGAACTTTCAATTCTTGCAATAAATACAAACAAATGACAAATTGACAAAGAAACGGACAGTATAACAAGAACAAAAAGGGCATTCCCTTAAGAAGAAAAGGAATTCCACGGTACTGAAACTGCAAAGCCACTAAACTGAAAGGATGTTTCAGAGAGATCTTACCCACAAGTTTTTGGGAGACAAGATCAGCCCTAAGTACATCGAATCCCCAGATTAGTGTGCCGATGGAATTGATCTCAAAGCTTCCAGATGGAATCGTTTCGAAAACTTGCCGATGAAACAAATGGCACATAACACAAGCCAACGAAGACATAATAGAACAAATTCATACGACCAGAGAGAGTTTCAAGAAGAAACAACCCAGATTGATATTCTGATTGAATCGATTTCTCGCTGATGGAATTAGAACTTTATTTTTTTTAAGTAACAAGAAGAAAGAAAAAGAGCAGCAGGGATGTTTGCCTATTGCTATTTTTCCCCAAAAAATCCACTCCTACTAGACTTTTGCCGGGTAAAGTGTTTTTTAAAAAAATTGGTGGAGATATTTTTGGGGGGAAAGTAAAGCGGGAACTTTTAGGAAAAATTTTTGGGCACGCTCAATCAATGTTGTATTTGAAAATATTAAAAGGAACACGTGTGAAGTGTGGCCTAACATCTTAATAAGCGTTGCCAAATATAAATGATATGCCATCACTTAAAAAGCCTGTTCTTTATAGTTAAAGACAACATTTTACAAGCGTTGCCTAAAAACTGTGGCCAAAAGCTATTACTAAAGGCCACCCTTACAAAAGCGTTCCCATAGATATTTTTGGGAAAGCTTATCAAGCGTGGTCTAACATAAGTGTGGCCTTAGACCAAATTTGTTGTAGTGTACGCCGGGGGCTGGTGATGGTGAAGATGACTTGGATGAGCTTGAGCCAGGTGCCTGGTATGATGATGAATACTTTGATGGCGAGGACGATGGTGGGGGTGATGCTGCCGAGTGATGTTTTTTGTAATCTTTTGTTTTTACTTTTGTGGTCGTCTATTCGACCCTTGTAAGATACCTTTTGATTTGGAATGCTACTTTTGCTATTTATTTTCGAGTCTTCTATTTTTTCCTTGAATATTTTCCTCAATTGATTGCCTTGATTAAAAAAATTGTGTTGGTAGGCATTTGCTCGAACGTGATCGAGTGTCTTTGATAAGTTCGAGTGAAGTCAAACGTTGCCATAATTAACTCGAACGAGGTTAACTGTGAATCAAGTTCGAGCTAGGCAGAATGTAAGTTGAATTCGAGCGAGGTCGAGTGTCCTCCTTTCTGATACACCATTTTGTTGAGGTTTGTACGGAATAGTTAATTGTCTGCTGATGCCCTTTTTATTAAACAATTCTTCAAATTCTTTTGATAGATATTCACGCCCTCTATCGGTTCTTAAGGTCTTAATTCTTTTGTCTAATTGATTCTCAACTTCATTCGAATATTCCTTAAAGCATTCAAGTGCTTTAGATTGATGAGAAATCAAATAGACATAACCAAAGCGTGTGAAATCATCAATGAGCGTAATAAAATATAAAGCACCAGACCTAGCCATCACATTCATTGGACCACAGATATCAGAATGGATTAATTGCAATGGAAAATCAGCTCTCTTAGCCTTTCCAAATGGTTTACATGTAATCTTTCCGGCAAGACAATTTTCACAAGTTGGCATTTCAATTTTAGAGAAAGAACATAGATGTCCTTCCCTAGCCAATCTATTCATTCGATCCTGCCCTATGTGACCTAATCTTGCATGCCATGTAATAACATCATCATCACTGTTACTAGAATAACATGCCATAACACAACGGTCAACATAATAGTTATACGTAGAAGGATTACAATCTAACACAATAAAACCATCATAACGATGTCCAAAACCATAAAAAAAACATTGTCTTGAGTAATTCTAAGACCACTGCGACTAAAGTTCAAATTGAAATCTAAATCTAGAAGAACAGACACAGAGGCTAAGTTTCGTCGAATCTCTGGAACATACCGCCACACATGTCTATTCTGCAAGTGCCTATCCCTTTGACTTCAAGCTTTGCATTATTTCCCATATATACATGCTTTGATCCAGGTGAAACTCGACGAAACTCTATGAACGCTTCTCTATCACGACTCATATGGTCGGTGGCCCCTGAGTCTACAATTGACACATGATAAGATTCAGTTAGTAAAAAAGTGCTAGAAACATATATAGCACTAAGAGATGCATTTTGAAATGCTACCGTTTTCGGCTCAGTGCACTCACGAGCAAAATGCCCTGGGACTTGGCAATTGTAGCACTTCATCTTGCTCTTGTCTTTCCTCTTATAGAATCGTTTTCCTTTCTTGGAATTTGACTTGTTTCTTTTCTTGCAGGATCCTTCTTCGGTCTCCTTACCCTTTCCGTCATTTTTTCAGTTTCTCTTGCGCTTGAAGCTTGATTTCTTTGTACCACTTGATTCTGCCACAAAGGCATTAGGTACAGCTTTAGCAGCACCAATCCGCTCGTCTTCAAGCTCCACATGACGGGAAACATCAGCAAAAGTTTTGATGTTATCATTGTGGATCAAGTTAACCTTCAGATGTTCCCAATTATTGGGAAGAGGCCGAATCAACTACCTGAACCTGCTGCTCATCAGAGGAGAACATGGCCAACACTTTTGAGTTGAGCAATCATATTTGACATCACTCTTATATGTTGCTTGACACCGTGATCATGATGCTTTTTGTACGTGTCAAACTTGATTTTCAGTTGTCGAAGGCGAGTCACAGTCGTACCCCCATATGTCTCTCTTAAATGTGCCCACATGGCTTGAGCAATAGGATATTGCTCACATTCGTGGATGAGATCATCAGCACCGAACTTACAATAATTCCTTGTGCAGTGGAATCTTTCTTCTTCCGAATATTGTAAGTTTCCAGATCCCTCATGTGTTGGGTTGTGTTACCTTCCTCTAGGTGACTCATAGCATGGTTAATACTTTCAAGAGCATCTTGCTCTTCAAGTACATACCATATCTTACGACTCTAGATGTCGTAATTTTCACCATTCAGTTTGTCACCCTTATTCAAGTCAGCAATGATACTTTTCGATGCCATGTTTGTTATTAGAGACAATATTACAAGTTTAACTCATCAATATATACTTTAGTTAATTTATGCATGTGATTACACACTCAAGTAAATTACTTATAATATTAACTCTACATTTAGTATAGAATCAAACGGTCACTGCATTTCCATTCATCATCTATATCTAAATATTTTAGTTAATATAAAAAATACTTCTTAGTGTGTGCTTTATTTCAAGTCTCAATCCATTACAAAAATAAATATGATAAACAATGTATGTAACTGGTGAGACAAGTAACATAATTTACATTTCATTAAGATAAAACACATAATAACAATTTACATGTTTGCTAGGATATAAATGTACCGATCGAACATTAACTCTTGCACATACACGCTAAAAGGTGCACTGGGCCAAATATCATGATAAATCTCAGTTAAAATTTCACCCCAAGGCTCTCGAAGAGAGTCCGCTAAAATAGCTAATGCTTTCCAATCAGTAATTTCTATGTAATTAGCTAATTTAGCTCTTTTTAACTGAAAAAGGTGTACATGTTGAGGAATAGAAACATCAGGGCCCATTTTAAATTCATCAAACTCCCTAAATTTTTTTTCTCTTTCCCTTCGTTCTGCCGTTCGATACCTTAACTCATTTTTTCTCGCCCTTGGGACATTCCTGATGACTTCAGGCTCCGAGTCTAAATCATTATAGAATAAGTCCTGCGATGACGTACCCTTCTATGTTGTCCCCTTCCTTGACTTCGAGAACTTCCACTTGGAGTAATTCGAACTTGTCCCTGTTCAGCCATATCTGAAATAGGAAGGAATCAGAAATATGGATGTTACCATTTAATGAGACAACGTATGTCACAAATTTCTGGTAGAAGACAAAAAGGATCATAAAAGGATTTTTAAAGTTGGAAGATTCCGTTTTTCATATAAAAAATATTTTCGGAAAGCCCGAAACGAGTATGTCATGAATATATAAGTTTTAGGCAAAAATATTTAACAAGTTATTTCAAAAATGCTGAAAACAGAAGCAATTTTACGTCAAAAATAGTCAAAAACTACCAATCTTCCAAATATCATATCTCACTCGTTTTTAATCCGTTTTTCACATATAATATATTTTCGGAAAGCCCAAAAGAGTAGAACATGATTATATAAGTTTTAGGCAAAAATTTTCACAAGTTATGGCTAAAACGTTGAAACAGAAGCAATTTTTTTGCAGAAAAATAATCAAAAAGTGCCAATCTTCAAAATATCATATCTCACTCGATTTTAATCCGTTTTTCACATATAATATATTTTCGGAAAGACCAAAATGAGTAGAGCATGATTATATAAGTTTTAGGCAAAACATTTTAACAAGTTATGGCCAAAATGCAAAAAATCAGAAACAATTTTCTCTGAAACTTGTCAAAAATTAGCCAAAAAAAAAATCTCAACCTAAATTTATAAAACAGCGATTTCAAGACAATTTACATGAATAACTGGATCATTAAACCATTTCTCTCATACCAATGTAATGAAAATAATCTCGGGGCGAGAAAAACGTTAGCGTCCCTGTCAACGCAGCGGAAGAATTCTTGAACTCACTATCAAAAGAATTGCCCCAAGTTGAACTTTGAATCTCTTGGAAACAATGTTAGAATTAAATGTCTTCTTGTGTTGATTGGGAAGAGATTTTTGATCCCACTCTTACTTTTTATCTCTATTGTTTTTTAGAAAAGGAGAAAGCGTATGTTTATATGGAGAGGGAAGATAGCAGTTATGTGAAAACTGCTCCCACTACACTTAAACGTGTAGTAGCCTCTCTTTAAAGAGGTTATTTTAAACCCTATCTCTTCTAAAATTCTTTCTTTTCCAAATGGGTTGGGCCAGCCCTCATGGAGCGATCCGATACCCGGATCCAATATCCAACACTAATTAATGGGGTGCTTGTGTTTGCAAACTAAATTTCTTACTACATCATGAAATTCTTAAACGCGTTGCTCGTGTAATCAATGACGGAGCCAAGAATTTATACAAGGTGATTCAAAAATGTCACCCTTGAAATTTAGACTTATATTCTAAAGCGATTTTTGAACCCCCTTGCCACTTTATTAGAACTTTTCATTATGTCAAGGAAATTTTAAAACTAATACATAACCAACAAAATTTAGTTTTTGCCTTATTTACACAGTATATTTTTTAAAGAAGAAAATTCAATTGAACCTTCGTTCAAGCTAGCTCCGCCTTGCGCATAATGTACATTTATGAAAAATAAATACAAAACGCTGCAGTGGTCTCTCTTCAACAATAGGTCGGATCGAACAAAAGAGCTGGAGGTATACTAATAGACCAAGAAAAAAATTCAGCCAGATTAGAACAAACTATTGTAATAAAGAAGAAGATAGTATTAAGCAATTAAAGTAAAATTCTCAAGAGATTACACCGAAAGGAGCTTAATTGATACAATGAGCCAAACTGTTGGAGATCTCGAGGATCTTACTTGAATAACAAATAATGCAGATTATAAATTAAAATGAGGACACAGCAAGAAAAGCCGACCCTTTGGGGAAGCACACATAAGATTTTTGGAAAGAAAATAGAAATCCTCCAAATAGGAGGATGAAAAGGATCTAAAAATCGTTTGAAGTGAATGGTTTGATCAATATTAGTAGTAGGTTGCTGGGGGAGGTGAAGCATAGGTTGCAGATTGCTCGTATTTTGCAGGTGGTGAAGGTGAGGCATAAACGGGAGTTTGCTTATAGTAGTTCGTTGGCGGTGGAGGTGAGTAGTATGAGGGCAATTTTTCATTGATCTTTGGCAGAGATGGTAAGTCGTAAGTTATAGGTGATTGCTCATAATATTTAGGTGGAGGTGGAGGAGATTTGTAAGAAGGCGTAGATTCTTTGTAGTATGGTGGAGGTGGAGACTTATAATTGATTGGTGATTGCTCATAGTATTCTGGTGGTGGTGGTGGAGAACTGTATGAAGATGGTTGCTCATAATATGTTGGTGGAGGTGGAGGAGACTTGTAATAAGGTGATTGCTCAGAGTATTTTGGAGGAGGTGGAGGTGACTTGTAATATGAAGGTGATTTCTGATAATAAGTTGGTGGTGGTGGAGATTTATAGTAAACTGGGGACTTGTAATATGTTGCGGGAGCTGACGATTTATAGTATTTTGCTGGGGATGGTGACTTGTAGTACTTTGCAGGTGATGGCGACTTGTAGTAGTTCTTTGAAGGAGCTGGCGACTTGTAATATTTAGCGGGAGCTGGCGACTTGTAGTATTTTGCGGGAGCTGGCGACTTGTAGTATTTTACGAGAGCTGGAGACTTGTAGTATTTTACAGAAACTGGCGACTTGTAGTAGTGCTTTGCAATAGCAGGTGGCTTATAGTAAGGAGTAGGTACTGGGTACTTGGGTGAAGATGGTGATTTGTAATACTTCTTGGAATTGTAAGAAGTTGAGGGAGAAGTATACCCATAAGAGTAATCAGCAACAACAGTGCTGGCTATAAAGCAAATTGCCAAAGCAGTTACAAGTAAAGGCAATTGCCCCAGCTTCCCTAAGCTTGCCATTTTGCTTATGCAGCCAACAATACTTAGAAAAAGAATGAAAAGAACTAAAACTTGACTTGCATATTGAGTAGGGAGCTCTGGCTTTTATATGGGAACATAATATTATCATTTTAGGTTTGTGTTATTGGCACCCACTAAGGTTATAGCTAAGTCAAAATATGGGGAACTCTGGTTTTTATATTGCAGTTAGACATCCTTCTTAATTAGTAGTAACATTTATGTAATGGTTTCATGGTTAGCAATTAAGATGATATAGAAAAGTCCAAACAAAGAATAGCTTTTTTCTGGTAACAGAAAAAATTATTTAGAGATAAATATTAAAAATGGAGAAAACAATAAGGATACCACGACTTGCATCCCATTAGCGAATAATTAAGTTGACTTGTACAAATAATTACGGTATATTGAATATGAAGTTCAAAAACAATTAGGGAAAACCGGCGAATACACAAGAATAAACATAAATGCAGGGCGTACGTAGAAATTTTTATAAGTGGTGTCGAAATTTATAATAGAACGAAAATAGATAATTTTAATTATCATACCTCTAGACAAGAAATAGTCTTAGTGGAGGCTTTCTCAAATATTTTCCAAGAATATGTGCTATGTAAATTTGAACCTTTGATTAATACATATATTTAGTAAAAGAGTTCGATGAAGCGGTGTCCCGTGACACCGCTTTATCAAACGTGCATCTGCCCCTGACCTTAAGGGGTCGTTTGGTTCAGTTATGAAATGTCCCATGGTATTATAATTCTAGGATAATCCATGGATTATCTATCTCGCCTCTGATAACGGATAGCACCATTTTGGTATTAACTCTATATGTATTAGTTTATACCCGCAATCAAATATGAGATAACTCTAATCCCAAATTTTATACGGGGATTAATATCTTTATCCTTGTTTGACCAAAAAATACAATTTTCGGCTAAAATAGTTGAGTTTATATAATAATGGGTTAAACTTAGTTAATAATAATATCTCTAGATGTAAGTTCCAAAAACGTAAATAACTTTAGACAAATCTGGGGGGCGGATCGACAACAACATGCATTAACTGTTCCAAAAAGTATGAGCAATAATGGAGAAAGAACTAGCATTAAATAACAATAAATGACATTTAAGTAAATAGGATAAGTGGTTCACCAAATAAAGGATGAACTAGATGATTGTTCCTCCTGACAATGATGACTGACAGACAAATCCCGGAATGTTCGAATTATTCTTGGATCTGATGGAAAAGTGTGGAATAATAGAAACAAGAATCTTGATGAAAGGTAGTGCTTATAAGAGAGAAAATCTTTTACAAAAGTCTGTTCTTATCAAATGATTATCACATGACCTCATTCATTGTCTTTTTTCCTATTTATATGAGACATATCCCTAACAAACCCTAATAGTACAAGTGTAGAGAATATCCACTAGAATATTCTCTTTAATATCCTATTCTAAAAACTAGCCGTTATAGCTCTATCTGCGGTGCTCGACCTCGATCATTCTTGACATCTCGATCACGAGTCTGGCTACTTCCTGGTCGACCTCGACTGACTCTTTCCTCAATGCTACCTTGCCCTAAATATTTGGGACAGATTTCGACCTATACGGTTGGTCCCTCCGCTTATTGAGGCCGGCCTCAGACGAGCTTGATGAGCGGATTCTGTTTGTTGTGGTCCAGAAGATTGGACGAGTGGATCGGGTAGTGATGTTTGGGACAAGTTGACAATGTGGCCTTTCGTGAGCCGCAACTTTTGAGTTTACGTCGTTTCTACACCAAAGTGATGTCATGATATCATGCATCATTATGACGCATTTTTCGGATGCTTTGCGTCGTTTCCCGTGTGTCTATTGGATGGGTCTGCCGTTTCGATACTAGTGTTGAGTAATGATGGCACAATTTCCTGGTTTGATGCCCGAATTCTTATAAATAGGTAGAGCCGTCAAAATGGGCTTGGCCCGTGAGGCCAGCCCAACCCAGCCCGCTACTTGGGTAAGGTTGGGCTAGTATTTTTTGAGCTCATTTAAAACTGAGGCTTATAAGCCCGGCCCAAGTCAGCCCGCTGGCCCTTGAGGCTTGACCGAGGCTGGGCCTGTGCCGGCCCGTGGACCAAAAATTAATTAAATTGAAATTAATTAACTATTAAATAATTAATATTTAAAAAAGTAAAAACTAAAAAACTATTAACTGTAATCCTCATTCCCAACCTTAGATTGCTCATCTACCTTTCCATATCAACTAGAATTTAGATTTTTGACATGCATGTAATATGACAAAATTAGTTTTTCTTTTGCTTAATTGATAACGAACTCGAAAAGTTTTCGCTGGCCAATAATAATCTTTTTTCAAAAGAAAATATTACTTTAAGTGGCCAATGATAAGTTTGGCAAATGATGTTAATCCTAAATTAAAAAACCTCAGCATTTAAACTTATTGAATCAATCCATGAATTTGAAAAAAATGAAACAAAAACATTAAGAAAATATTCATGTAACTTTAAAAAAGAAGAGCTAGAGATATAGAGAATTTGCATTTCAATTACGAGATTCTTCGTCAAATATCAAGATTTTTTTACGCTCTAAGCAAATAGAAGTTGTTTACATGATTAATCGACTATGTAAGGAAAAAATATTTAAGGATTTAAAGAATTTTTTTTTCTAAAACAAATTGAAGGGCCGGCCTGCCCTAGCCCGCTGCCCTCTTAGGGCTGGGTTAGGCTGGCCATTTTAATGCCCACTCATATGGCGGGCTGGCCCGTCCTAGCCCACCAAATTTAAAAGCCCACGAGGCTTGGGCTGGGCTGGCCCGTTTTGACAGCCCTATAAATAAGGATGTGGGGGCACACACTCATGTTTTACAAATTTCTCATATCGAAACCCTGTCCCCTTTTCTTCTTGTTTTATTGTTATCTTCTTCTCCTGCTCCAGCGATCCTCGTTGCTCTTAGCTTTTTGTTACTCGAATACCCTCTCTTTCTTCAAAACTATGGTTAACATATCTTCTAGTCCCAGCGAGGAAAACAACCAGGTCCCCTTGGCGATGGTTTTGCCTCCTCACGCGGAGGGCGTCTCTGTTGCCGTTGAGGATGAGGATTTCCCTACGGTGGAGGAGATAGTTCCTCGTGGTGGGAAAATTGGGTCTGATTTTACAAAGGCGTCTGAGGCTGAGCCCTAGGTCTCCAAGTCGGCGATGAAGGAGACGAATTTATCAGAGCTTAGGGCAGAATTCGACATTCCTGCTCGCATCACGTTGGTCCATGCAGAGCGGGATATGGTACAGGTTCACCGCCCTAGGTATTGGGCGTTCTACACCTACATATTCCATGTCGGCTACACTCTTCCCCTTCTCCCATTGGCGGAGGAGTTTTGCCATTTCTACGGTGTTTTCCCAGTTCATATCTCGCCGTACATCTACAAGCTCATTAGGATGCTTACCAAGTTTGTGGAATTGGCGGGGGTCGAGATCACACTTCGGCATTTGATGCATCTCTTCGCCCATAGTTTTTATAGGGAGATAATGTTGCACATTCGCCATCGTGGGGGCAAGTGCCTGGTGGTGAAGATGGACGACAAGATGAACCATCAGTTCTGGCACAATTGTTTCTTCGTTAGAACTGAAGACGTGGTGGCCAATGCAGACGACTTCCCCGAGACTTGGAATTACACTCGTAAGTAGTTGAGGCAATTATTTACTTGCTTAGTAATGGGTTCTGATCTCTTGCTCCTCTCCTACGCAGCAAAGACTACGCCCCAACCTTTGGTCGGGGACATTTTTGATTGGGTCGGTCGGCTCCTCCCTCACATTGTGGGATTCCATGAGTGGTCGGTCTTTTTAAAGAAGTTCGGGCCTGCTCCCTCCCTAACCGGCGAGTTTCATCGTTTTGGCCTCTTAGTCGCTTACCTCTTTATAGTTTATTATGGCTGATCTTCTTTTCTTTTTCGCTTCTTTCATTTCCAGCCCGAGGGGAAGGCCGAAAGCACCCCCACCTGCATTCCATAAGAGGAAAACTGCTTCCTCTTCGGCTTCTACCCTTCTACGATTGCGGCAAGGTTTGCTCACTCTTCTGTCCCACCTACTACTGCTTCAGTCTCAGTTTCTTCATCTTCCGACAGCGGAGCCTCCGGCTTCCCCTTATATCATTTTGTAGGCGAGAAGGAGGAATCATTGCCAAGTGACGGGGACTTGGTGCCCCGTAAGAGGAGGTCAATAGAAGTTGGCGACTAGGTTGTTTGGGCCGCGGATTCTGTGATGAATAATTTCGTCCTCCATGAAACAGCGACTATAGTTCTTGAAAACGCCGTCGAGCTGGCGTTTGAGGTTCCGAGGTTGGCCAAAGCCGTTAAGGGCGTATCCCTTCCTTCTGCGATGATGGAAGTCAAAAGGTCGACCGCTTGGCTTTCTGATACTTCACGGCAAGAGGGGCCGTCGACTTTGCAACCAGTTGGCGATATTTCTTTGCCGTCTGATGGGAGAAATAAAGGTGTTGCCGAAGATGGTTATGAGACGGGCTAAGACGTCGATACCGCGAAATGAGGATGATGAAGGAAAGCTTTACCCAACTCGAGGTGAGGTTGGAGGGGTCCACGAGGACTATTACGATCCCCATGAAGCGTGATCTGTTGAAGAATACGGAGAACGTAGTCCCTGCCCTCGGCCCTCTTTGCTCTGATGTGGAATCCAATACCCTCAGAGAGTTAGACAACGTCACTCCATCAAGGATCATAGCCGGCCTTGCCCTTATGGTGAGTATTTTGGGGCTTCATTTTCCGATTGGCATTTTTTGTGTTCTGTCTTTGTCAGTGGGCATCCTTATATTTTGCTTCTTTTTCTTATGTTCGCATACAATGATTTTGGAGATTGAAAGCTCTCGAAGGGAGGAGAGGCGTAATCAAATTTTTGAGAAGTTGGAGCGCAAGTATCTTGAGTACCGTGGTAAGTACCGGAAGATTCGCAGGCATTTTAGCGAGGGCGGCAACTTGTAGGCCCTTCGTGATGAGTTGAAAGAGAAGGACGACAAGCTGGTGTGGGTTATTAATAAATGCAGCGTCCTTGAAGGCA